AAAATGCTAGAAATTGGAGAAATTCTTACTGATAATCAGTTTCCAATACTAAAGAAGAACAAACTTATTAATATAGACATGGGCATCCTGGTTTCATTTCTGCCTGGGTACAGGAGCCACCACCTTCTCAAGGCAGTGATCCATATCCATGCAATGACTCAACACCTTCAGTGTTAGCTTGTAAATCCTGTTTGACTTCTGGCTTCACATCAGGTGTCCTGGGCCTCTCTGCTTAGACATAGCCTTCATTTGATTTGCACACACCTAATTTGAATGCAGTCTCCTCAGTTTAGAATAATCAGGGGAAATGACAAAAGGAAAATCCACAATTACGAAATTCCCCGACTTCTTAGATGTTTACAAAGAATGAAAGAAGAGGCTTTTGCTAATTCCCAGAAAAGCTTAGGTGGTCATGGAATAAACCAGAATTTTCTTCCTTTTTCTTGAGAGAAAAGCTTTAGCTCGAGAGAAGGTAAAGAATTAAGATCTTAGTAAATAAAGAAACAAAAGCCTAATACTACCAACATGTACGAGAGCAGAATATGACTTCTGTATTAAAGGAAATGATGAATGTTTTCACATTATGGGAACCGCTTTAGCACAACCTTAAAATAGTGTTTTAGAGATATGTTAGGACATAGAGAAATTTGTCTCTACACTTTAAACCTTTTCTCTTCCACAAGGGTTTTTAGTAAGAATGTGGTTTGGACTAGAGCTTGGAGAATGTGAAAGAAAATTTCTAGCCTTGAGTGTTGCTGCCACCTACATGGCAGGAAGCCTATAAACAAAACCTCACACCTTTCCAGACAGGAATCAACTGCAGTATACTTTCTATGGAATCACACTCTAGAAATCCCCAAATTTGTTTCTTTACTTGACTATCCCAAAGACAACTGAAATGGTAGTATTTTATTTTTGCCTCACTTGCTATCTGAAATTCTTACAGAAATTGGACCAAATGGTTTTACTTAGATTAGTGAAAATGCGCTGATCATATGAAATAGAGACTGATCCAAGGAAATTTTCCTTAACATAAAAAGTCCTAAGTGCAATCTGATCCCTGTGGCTATGATTGTTTTAGGGACAGGATGATAGCTCTTAATCTCACTGTTAGAGGTTTTTTCTTTCTTTCCTTTTCTCCCCTCACCAACCCCGCCCCCAAACCATCTAAAATACAAAAGGAAAATTTTTAAATGTTTCTCTTTTGATTCTGATTACAAATCGAAACAAATGGAGATAACCTAGATGGAAGAATTCTTTTGCTATAGATGAGAGGTTATTTCTGATAGAAATGTAGTTACCACTACACAGTTAACAGAAAATCTCTTTAAAAGTCTAAAGGAAACTTGTGATACATCAAGAACACATCATAGACTGTCCTTTTATCTTAGATGGCATCATCTGAGGACATGATGAGCAGTTATTGAAGCTGTATAATAACACTTCCTTCCTTGAAAATACACTTGCAAGATCGAAAACCCCATTGATGACTTTACAGATAATTGTAATTAAAATAATTACTAAGTGAATAAATTATAGGTTTGTAATGATGTACCAGCCAATTATTGCTATTGCATAATGTTATGGATACTGGTGTTTTGCTGTCATTTGGCACTTTGCAGATTTAGGCAAGGCTATACTAAACGGGTACGCATTATCTTTGGTGTTAAAAACCTTGGATCCTTGAATGAAAAATCACTGTTACCTTTCCAATTAGTAGTGTGTTGAAGACAGAAAGGATCCCTACATTTGATGATAGGAAAACATGCTCTGTGCAATGAAAAAAGGCATCTGGAGAAACATTGTCAAAAAAGAACCACCATAGGTGCCTAATATTTCCCCCTGTACACCACTAAAAATAAGCCATTTCAAACACTCTCACTGGTCTGTGGCTTTCATTTTCACAAGATTTGTATCATTATAATCATTATAATCTTGCTCACAATGATGTGATTGTTCCAGTGTATTTACCTGTATGGTATACTTTCTGGGATAAAGGCGAATCTATCCAGATTTAATGAAAAGGGCCCAAGACTAGCAGGTGGCAAAAAACCCAGTATTCAAGATGAATGTGTTTTAACACAGTATTTTAAAATGTCAGAGTAATGTCCGAATTCCATGATATCAAAATTTAAAATAAAATGGGATCTGAGAAGGTCAGGTGAAGGGTGGCAGGAGCCAGGGAATTATGCTGGGGCAGTCCTTGCCCTGCCAGTGAGATGAGGTGGCACACGATGTCTTCCAGGAAGGGTTGCAGGCTGATGGAGCCCCTCCGTGGCATGTTCACACTGGGAGACCTGTTCATTTTTTGTTTGAGTGTTTCTCGTGCACACCATCTGTAAGGTCCTTGTTGATGAAGTCACAGCACAAAGTGGCCTGGGGATAAGGCCTCATAACTTCATCAGAAAGAAAGCCATTCCAGAAAGCTTTAACTTGGCAACTTCTTTAGTTGTGTTGTTTTGCAATTATTTTACAATGCTGACTACGTACAAGTTTACAAAGCAAGAACTTTCATATTTAATTAGACACACCTTTGGGTACTTGACATGTATAACAAGACTTCATGGAGAATCACAAGGTATATAGCACTGCTTTTAAATTACTGTGTAACCAAAATGTGTACAATAAAAAATTTTAAAAATTACATGAATAAGTCCATTCTGTGAAAATAAGACTGCAAAATCAATTGTCATTAATGTATTCTGAGTCTTCATTTTAAACATATGGAATAAAACATAAATAATTGAATGATTGAATTCTTAAAAATTCAGTTATTATAATGTACCCTCTAAAGATTGAGGAGAAAAACTGACTTTTCTTAAATATTCACTTGAATAATTATAAAAGGCTTTTTTAAAAATACAGAACATCAGAGGAAAATGTGCAAGGAGGGAAATAAAAATCACCTCAAATATTACCATCTAGAGATAGAATACTAATTAATATTCAGCAAAATGTCTTCCTATCGTTTTTCTAATAGTGATGTATTCAAATGGCCTTAACTAGTTTCTAATATAGCAACAGAATGTTTCAGGTCTGAAGCCACCTCTCTATTTGTGTGTTTATAATATTATAGATTTTACCTTATATTTGAAGTGCTTTACAGTGTTCAGATTGCTTTCCATAGACCATCTTGTGGAGTGCCTTTGCCCAAACCCTGGGACCCTGGGAGGATGCACTTGCCTTCCCCCCGTCCCCCCGCCCCGGGGAAGCAAGGCTCTCTGACAAGTACAACAAAGATGAGCTACCTGAACCCATGGCGGTGAGCCCTGGGCCCCATAAACTTTTCCTCAGCAATACAGTAGGCCATATGTAACTCCACAATGAGTAACAGAATCCCCGCTTGCAATTTTGAAAATATGATACTCCTTGGAGGGAAATAGATAATCCTAAATACCACCAAGATTAACGACAAAAAGAAAACACAAGATGATTTTTTAATTAATTATTAATGACAACAACAAGGAAGACACTGGATACAAACAAATTACCTGCTTGCTAATACAGTTACTTCACTTGCTAGGCCAACAAAGGATACACACCTATTCAAGAAGCAAAGAGTTTTGAGTTTTGAGTTGTGGTAGCAAGGGATTAGGGTCACAATGTGGTTGATCCACTTAACAGGGTGGCAACTTGCTATTTCTAGTTCTCCTTAGGAGCAATTTCAATATTGCTGAACTTAAGTTAATACAAAGAAATCATTTTTAAACAGACAGTTGGATTTGTCTACATTTGCATATAGATATTAGAGAATGCTATTTCAATGTCTTTCTCTAAAACTCTTCATTTTTAGGAATTAAAAGTTTTAATGATTAATGGTGGTGGCCTCCAGAATTCATATTGATAAAAGAAGATTATAATTATCATTTGATATGAATTATTAAATTTTAGCAACTGCAAAATGTGATGCCAGAAAAATCTCAAAAATCTCATTTAGTACTGTCAGGGTTATGCCAGTTCTAATTTCCTATATCTGGTGACATCATAAAATATTTATCAAGGATTCAATATTGGTTTCCTTAGTCCTCAAAAATGCTAAATATGGCAACTGTTTAAACTTATTTTTATTCTTCATTGAAAAGGGAATAATAGGACATAGTTATAAAAATAAGCTTATTTTTAATAAATATACCAGAACTTGAGCATCCAAATTAATTTTAACTATTAAAATTGCCCTTTTGAGAGAATATATACATATTTGATAGTGCCATCAAAAAAGATGTTTTTGGTAGTCCTTGTAATGACCTTCAGAGCCAGGACACAGCATGTAAGAAAATGTTTTCCATTGCCTAGCTTATTACCTTCCTTTATTTTGAAACTTAATTCCAAGTAGCTTTGGACTATTTCTAATGTGTGTATGTGGGACAGGGCGAGGTGGGATGTATATATGTTGATTTTCAAAAGATGACAATTTCCCATGATTATTCATATTGATAATATGTTACTCGTTATGAAGTACAACTCAAAAATAATTTCAAGCAATGATGTCATATTTTAGGAGACAAAAAATGAACACAGATTTATGTCTGCTTTAAAGGAGTCACACTCGGGGTGCCTGGGTGGCTTAGTCAGTTAAGCATCCGACTTTCGCTTAGGTCATGATCTCGCGGTTCGTGGGTTCGAGCCCCGCGTCGGGCTCTGTGCTGACTGCCAGCTCAGAGCCTGTAGCCTGTTTCAGTCTGTGTCTCCCTCTCTCTCTGACCCTCCCCTGCTCACGCTGTCTCTCTCTCTCTCCTAGAAATAAATAAAACATTAAAAAATAAAAAAATAAAAATAAAGGAGTCACACTCACAGGATGTCTATATTCTGGTATATTCATCCAGGTCAGCCATTACTTATAAGTTCCTTAAAGATAGAGACCATGCTATTCTAATATATAGTTCTCTTCTCTAATGTCCCCATTGCCTCCCAGCATAGGACCTGATGCTGCTGCCCTCAAAAATGTTTGTTCAATTGAAGTGACTGGAACTTCCCTATTAGATAGATAAATAGATAGGTAATAAACTTAACATTTTATTTCCATCTTTATGGATTAGACAATATTTGTATTTATATGCACACCACTTTTCGATGATTTTCTATAAATCCAGGAATTATACAATACAAGGCACAGAAAATAAATCAGATCACTAAGGGCCTTAATAGATGAGCACTTTGTTCCTGTTTATATTGCTTCACATATTTCAGTTTAAAAATTCCTGCTAGTCAAGCTTCTTTCTGGGAAAAGAACTACAAGAGTTTATACTTAATAAGGATCAATTGTGATATGCTGTAAGTAGATATATAGTTCACATCCATATGGCCAATAAGATCAGCCTTTGGCTGAAGACATTAGCTTCTATGTCATGAGAAGTCCAAATGAACCTAACCACATAAGATTGGTCCCTGTTATACTGTCTATCACATATTTGGGCTAATTGATCACTAAATGGAACTAGCTATTTGTTCACCACATTTCATGCTTTGATGAGATTTATGGCAGGGTGACTGATCCATATTAAAGCATATACTAAAACAAAATGTCCTAACCTACCAAATCAAATGAATTTAGTAAAGTTTTAGATTAAATACATTGAAGCAGCATTAAATTTAGAAGCATTGTATCTTACATTATTTAAAAGCAGTATGATTTTAATGTTGCCTATATTATTTAGGAACTGAAAAGATGGAAGAAAATCTAAAACGGTGTTAAATTTGTATCTTCAGACTAGCATTGCTTGTTGTAAATTTTAAAGGAAAGTAAGAGGCAGGAATATAGCCATGATTTCCACAATGATTTTCAAAAATTAGATCAATTTGGATATTTTCAATCAGTAATTACATTTTCACTACATCCTTCCTAAGGCATTAGCAAATCTACTTACAGTCTAATAACTTGACCGATAACAGCATAGTTTTTAATACAACAATAAACATATGGAATGTTTGGGTTTCATAGTTTGTCCAAATCCAATTCCTATAGATAAGATTCCATTTAGCACAGTTTGCAGGAGCACACCTTTGCTATCCATGAATGATGCCTTGGCTTACCTAGAAAGGAAACAGATGATCAGGTTATATGGTGAAATAAAGAAAGAAGAAAGAAAAAGGAAAGAGGAAGAAAGTGAGAAAGGAACGGAAAAAGACAGGGAAGGATGAAAGAAAGGAAGGAATGAGAAAGGAAGTGAAGGAAGGAAAGAGTTACCTATAATTTCTATATCTTTTCTATCCTGAAATACAATAGGTTACTATAATAAAAAATATTCTTATAAACTAGGCTTCAGGCAAGTGCATTGCACACATTATTATGACAGGTTGTTTTTTCTTTTAATTGCCAAGAAAGATGAAAGTTTCCAACAAGATGAATTGGGCTTGAAATTAACAAATTTGCATAAATTTCAAGTAGCTCAGTTGTTTTCAGAGAAACCCACAACTGCAATTTTAGGATCAAATGTTTTAAATATTAGCTGAAAATTGGCTTGAATTAAAGAATCAAAAGATCATTTATTTCTCAAGCTACCTGGATGATTGTCACTGTAGGCTGATAACTATCACTTAATTTAAATTATTTTGACTATCAAATATACTGAAGCATTGTGCCGTATTTAACTACTTCTAAATACATTTATATTAATGACATGACCATGCATACATAGTAACTCCTAAACCTACTGGCAAAGATTAAAAAAAATGGCTATTTTGTTTAGTTAAATATATATTATACATTCATATACATAGCTACATGTATAGTTATATATATATAGTTACATTTATGTATAGTTATATACATGGTTTTATATATAAGTTATGTATCTATAAAAGCTTATATACATAGAATTTTACATCTTTTAAAATTTAGGTTGATGCTTAAATTTTCCCATTTGAGTAATTTTTTAAAATGTTGATATTGTTAAACTCGACTACAAGAAAGGTCTATGTGTTTTTACTACTGAAATTGTTCTTACTTCTTCTAGAACATTTTTTTTAGCACTAACCCTAAGAAGTGTGTACTCGATAGCTATGATTGATGGGCTGCTCACACATTCCACATTTTTTCTGCTTCATGCATCATCATCAGCCATCTCCAACACTCCAGTCCTGAATCTGTCCTACTTTCTGTTACCTGATTTTTGCTGTTGATTCATGAGCTAGAATAGTAAAAGGAAAAAAAATCTCTCCACCTTGGCTTTTCACAATGTAGAGTCCCCTGGAAACTGTGAGAAACCTAGTTTTGTTCATCAGATTCATGCAAATGCAATATTGATTGACAATGATGTATATAGATCTGTACACATAATGTGCTATATAAAAGCCACTAAAATGTTCTATTAATGGCAGAATGCATACTGATTATAAACTACTTCAGAATGACATGAAAACGCTGATCCCACTGCCCTTTTTTTGTACTTTCAAGCTTTCTCTTGTTACTGTTACTTTCAGCTGAAGCTATGTTTAAGTGCACTGTCCCCAGTGCACTAGGAAGTAAAATCCTTAATTTTCCAAGCCAATAAGGTGATAAAAGCTCAAGGTCTCTCATTAACACTTGGATAAAAATTGTGAATGTAACACTAAATTTTTTATCATCATGAGTGCAAAGATGAGGACAAGAAATGCTTTTTATTATATTCTGGAGAATAGGAATTGAGCTTTAATCACTGTGTATGAAGCAGTTAACAAGAAGTTAACCAGCAAAAGACTGCACTAAACTATTTTTGTGATAGCATCTTTCAGATTCAGAAGTGATGGGGCTTTAGAGAGTCAAAGAAAGTCTAATGGCCCTAAAATCTGAAGAAAAAAAAAGGCAGCTGTTAAGTTCACACCATTGTCTTGGTGCTTCTATTACTAGACATCAAGTTATTCCCGCAGGTTTAGGGAATGTATAAACGCCAGTGGAGAAGCAAGTAGACTTCACAGAGTCTAAGCCAGAAACTTCAGTCTGGGATTCACCTGTGAGTCAAAACTCTTTGCTAATGAATTATTCCAAAGGAAAGACCCTGCTGAGGGAGACCTTAACCTATCAGACAAGACCTCCAGGTTCACTGACAGGGTCAGAGTAGCAAGAATGCTCTGGTCTAAAGTTGCTTTGCCAACCTTAATGGACTGCAGGCACTCACCTGGGTATACAGCATGAACCAATAAAGAGATCACAATGGCATGATGAATAGGTAGAGTGCTCTAGAGAGCAGGTGAACAACCACTTCACCAGTCCTCTAAATTGTGACCTATATGCACACTCTGGTCCATTTACAAATGGGTCATCCTAGTCACTTCACTGCTGGAGAAGTAGTGATGTCAGTTGGGAAATAAACAATCTACCGACCAAGTTCGAAGCCGTTTGCATTCAAAGATAATCAATTCATAATTCATAAAGTCAATCTTATTTTTACATAAATTTTAAAAATTCAATTTTACCAATTACATTTTAAAATGTTGAATCAATATTTATTTTTTACCTTAAAAAATGAACTTATAGTTTTTTCTGTCCTTCAGTATCCCTTTCCTCTCTGCATATGCAAATGAATTTATATCAGAAATATATCAGAAATCTGAAGCTCTAAAGGATAAAGTAAGATGATGTTTAGATGATTTGCAAAGAAAAGACTTTATTTGGTGAGAACAATATGTATGAGGCAATACTCTTGAACTGTGCTTGGATGGGAAAATGATTTTTGTTTTCATTTTCTATATGCTGTTTGAACAACTGGTTTATTCATTTAAAGTGATGTAAAAAATATATTAGTCATTTAGAGTTGCATAGATAAAACCATGTAAGGTCAATATCCATTAAAGCTAGGAGACTGACTACATTCAACTTTGTAACTGGGATTTTGCATCTACATGAAAATATTAAAAGGTCTTTTAAATGAACAATAATATGCCAGGTGAAAATGACAAAAATAATGCAATCAAATCTAAATGCACTCCATTCCATACAGGAAATAACAAATATACCAGTGCAGCTATAAGCTTAGCTACGGAAGCACCTCTCTTGGTTTGACAGCACCTTCCCAAAGCTTATCACCAAAACCCCCAAATTTTGCCTTTTCTTCTAACAAAGGTAGTTAAGTGTACTTTCCAGAGGAACACCACTCATACATGGTAAATAGAAGTAACCACCAAAGTGATGTTTATAGTTTTGGAGTCCCTCCATCTGAATGACTTGCTATTTTTTACTTAATTGTTGGACACTGAGAAGTGGACAGTCATATTTTTACAGTTTGAGAAAGTCCCCCTAAGCTACCAATTTCACATATCTTCCTTCATGTTCAGTTTTAAGAATTTTCCCTCTCAAATGCTCATACTTCAAGGAAATGCACTCTCTCCTCAAAATCTTTCTTACTAAACAAGCACCTCTGTCAGAAGTGTCTTAATTTCTTGTCACAGAATTTTATCCACACAAGGAGCAATAAATAATTCATGTCATTGCCTCTTTGTTGTGTGTCCCTGAACTGCACAGAGCTGGAAGGCTGACAGCTGTGTCAGGACAAGCACCAAAGATCTGACATGACAAGTGACTAACAAGTTTCTTTCAGTTCATAGTGAAAGAAGACAATGGCCCAAAGTGCAGAAAGAAATCCTGAAACAAAATAAAACTGCTTCTTTCTTTTTACCTAAGTGTTTGCTATGAGCTTATTTCCAACCCACAAGCCCTGGTCATTTTATAGGACTGCCCAGCCCCCTTTATTCCTCACACTCGCTTGGCCATTTACGCCTGGCCACGGATCAATATGAGCAATTCTTGGAGAAATACGATGTCTCCATGACAACCAAGCCACAAATTCTCAGTGGAAGGCAGTGAGACCAGTAGTGAACTCTCCAGAGGTTTCTAGGCCTATAAGGCAAGATGTCTTAAAATGCAGGAATGGACAGAGGAAAAAGCCAGAGTAATTCATTCTTTATTACCAGTTTAATGATGTCCGATGTATAGAACAGTACTCACTTTTTAAGTTAAGATTCTTTATCAGTACCTCTCTTTACTAATTAATCTTTGTTTTGATATACCCTTTTGTTTATATCAATCAGATGAACTATGTTGTATTTGAATTTTACTACAATTCCACTCATATTGAGGGATGACTGAAATTTGTTCTACTTTTGAAATGACATAAATCCAATCTATTCTTGCCCAAAACAGTGAATAGTTAACAGACTTAAAAACTTGACTTAAGGTTGATAGGAAAGTATGTATTAAGACAGTTTAAAAATCTAGTCACAACGAGGCAATCTTGTCAAAACTAAAAGCAATTTTTAAATAATTTAATAGAAATTTAATGCTACCACCACCCTCTCCCTGTTAGAGTGGGACTAACCTGTATTTGTTTTTTAGATATTATGCCAGAGGGTGGGGTTAACATTCTGATTAAAAATTTTTGTCATTGTGAAAGGTGCCGTTTCTCAGTTCCATGGGATTCTAAAGCAGAAGTGTGGTTGAGAACAGACACAAGGCAGCAGTTCATCTTTTGAGGAATCTTGGTGTAGTGGAGGGAACTGAAATACAATGCCATCGCCACTGGGTCTATTGGGGTTCCGAGATGACTTAGGGGACCTGACATAGATTGCAGGCTGCACCTTTCACTGAAAATTAAATCTCAGTAGCTCTCCTCGGGGAAGGATCAGGGGACTGTTTGCAGCTGCCCCCTGTCAGCGAAGGCTACAAGATTTGGAAATCTCTTAACTAAGCTGACAGGCCACAGAGAGGATGAATCAAAAATCTGATACAAGGATCAGCACACAAAGATGCAAGAGGGTCGAGGGTACACAGCAGATGGAGAAAACAGGAAAGAAAAATGTTCCATGGGGGTGATAGTTAACTCTTTCACTCATGGCAATAAGGTAACTTCTAGCACCTTATGGCTTTGCAGTGATCCAGGAATGTCATTCAACCTTCATGGGTTTTGTTTTTTTTTTCCTTTTAATTCATTAGCTGTTAAAGACTAGGCGTGTTTTGAAACAAGACAAAAGCAGAAACATAAATCCATGCCTAAGTGTTTCTGACTCTATCCTTACAGTATATTTCTCTCTATTCTTTCTACAAAGAAAATACAAACATAAGTAACTTGGGATGTGGCATGAGGAAAGCTTATCACTTTCTTTTGTTTTGTGTGTTCCAGTCGTGTCCATGAGTCCATTACTGTTACGCCAAAATCCTTTCATCCAGGTTAGAGCACTGTTGGTATTTAGAAAGGTAAATAGATCGTATTGATGACAATCTGTGTCTCTTTTGTCTCTAACTCTCTACTTCCGCTTGATCCCATTGTTTGAAATATTTAAAATGCTGCCACTTCTCTAGTTTTCAATCTCCGCCTCTATTCACCAGTTTAGCTTAAAATGGATGATAATGAACTAATAGTGTCAGCTTCCCTTCTCAGTCATAAAGCCTTTGTACTTCCTCCAACTGAATTCTTGTTGAAAGAGGAAAAGGTAACAGCTCCACACTGTGACCCCTGGAGGTGACCATTAATTTGACAGTGCAGCTGCTAAGAGAAAACAGCATTACAATGTCCTCCCCGCCACCTCCTTCCAAGGACCCCAAAGCTGTATCAAATTTATCATTTTATACTTGACTATTTTTAAATGGCTTTCACCTGGACTCTCAGACTCTTCCAAGACACATCTGTCAGGCATGTCCTCAGTGTCTTGGAAGTTTGCCGAGTTTGAGTCGCTGTCATGCTTGACCGGACTGACTGGAGCTATTAAAAGGCGAGAGAGGGAGAGAGAGAAAAGAAAGAGAGAGCAATGAAAAAGTAGTAATAAACATCACTGAAACATTTCCTTTCAGTTCCACAGATACTTCCAGGGACACACTATGTAAACACAAATAATAAATTGAAATAAAATGTATCCTCTAAGTATGTATTGGCAGACATGTAATTAGTTGAAAAATCTATAGATGAGACTTTATCTTACAAGAAAAATAAGTTCATGGCATCAGCTTAAAAGCTACAAAGTAACAAAGCGATCCCTTTGAAGTAGAAATCGTATTTTTAATGCATAAATCTAAAACAATATAGTCAATTAACAGCCACAGGACACAGATGGAACATTGGACTGGTCAGTTAGACTCTGTGGGTGCAATGGTTCCTTTTGTCGCACAAATCACAGCTGATGAACTTTTTATGCATTTTGTTTCTCCATCAAATTAAAACCTCTAAACACCAAAAAGATAGAAGCTTTATACAAATAAAATTTAAAATATAGAATAAATACTTCACAAATGATTAATAAGAAGGGCTAATGTTTTCAACGGTGACTTCAGACAACTTGTCTCCAAACAACTTGTCTTTATTATCTGGGTAGGAATTATGGGCAGAAATAGAAATGAGCACAGAAACCTAAAATTTCCTATAAACACATTATACCACTAGTCCGTTAGAGACGGTCTCAAGTTTCCACATTTTTGCATAAGTTGTAATATTTAGTCTAACTTATCTCCCTGAGTAACATATTTCCATATTATATTCATTCAAGGAATCACTTGTCAGGAAGAGTGAACATTAGCTTCATGAAAAAAACTCCTTGAATAACAAAACAAAACAATCTTGGAATAATATAAATTATGTCACACTTACTTGTCTGAAGCCAAACAACATAAATATGTATATTATTGACTAATTTTATCTATCACAAATTGCTGCAGTAAACACTACTACGGTCTCTTCAGGTCTTGATAACACACACGACATATTACTTATAGGCCATAAAAACAAAAAAGAAAATATATAAGCCATTCTGAAATAATATGTTTGTTGGCACAGGGGAATAGGCCTGGCCACTGTTCCTAAGCCTCCATTAGGAAATGATAGAGCAAACACAGAGGCTGAAGGCTGTGTCACTTCACACATATACTCAATAAGTGACACATAGGAATGCCACCCAAGGTCTAAAGCAGCATGAGTAGAGTTCACTCTGCCCACACTCATCCTCTTTCCATGGAGTATGTAAAGCACTGGTGATCACAACCTGAGGCCCACCGTATACACGCCTTAAAGGAGACTAGTAACATAATTCTGATACAAATTCTCTTGAGTTTCACCTATCTCTCAGAACAAGGATAGTTCTCTTCTGTTCTGTCAAAGTGTGAGCATAGAGTTTGAATCCACTGCTTCTCTAAAACCTTTTACTTGAGAACAAAATATGAGAAAAGCGTATGAAATTCTGGCACTTAAGTTTTCCAAAAAATATATGGAAGTATGTACCATGTCTTTTTTATTCACCTCTATGTGTGCTGGGCCATCAGAGGTATTCTTAAAAGGATTTGTGGAATGAATGAATGAACAAATGAATGAAACAGAGGTAACATGCTAGATGTCCTGCTGACCGCAAAGGATCTGTGCTTTGAATTATCTTCAATGAAATCTATTCAGTTTTTTGTTTAGGCCCACTTGACACAAAGGATGCATATTTATAAAATGGGGGGGGTAATCTGTAATTTGGAGGGGAGACTATGTGTCTCCCTAAGAGACTATGGCCTAAGTATTTATTGGTGTAATTGCCTTTAATTTAATTTTCCTTGGTTTAGATCATACTTATAGATTATTTTTGTAATATGTTTAAGTGGATAATTAAATGTATCAAAGTTACAGAAAACTATTACACTGGTTAAAATTTACTAGAGTGTTTTAATATTTTATCCCTAAATATCTTGTTAATTTTCTGAAATATTTACATTGGTACTTCTAATAGGGGATTAATCATACAGCTAAATCTATTATTAACAGCCAATGAATTAGCACCTGTGTTTATTTGGGCAAATGCACTCCACTTGTCGTCCCATACATTATCTTTCATAATTTAAAACTCTCATTCATTCATTCATTCATTCTTCCAGAAAGACACTGTAATAGATATAAGAATCTCAAAGAGGAGGAGAGCATGGTATTAGAACTATAAAGCAAATACCAGTAACAATTTTTAGTGACAATAAAGTGGTCCCTGGTTGACCTGACATCCCAAACCTCTCAAGAAAGTCAGAAAGTTAGGTATAATTGTAGCTGAACGATCTTCATTAAAGTCATACTAGTAGGTGGCATGCACTATTTTTGTCTCTACCTCTGATTTTGAAGGATCTCGTTTGTGAAGGGGTAGGAGAGTAGAAACGGTTATTCCTCAGATATTTTGCCCAATTACATTTTAGCTTCCAAATTTGAAATGTTACACGATTTGTCATTTTTACTGACTAATTTATAGAGTACCTGGTTAAATTTACTATAGAGGAAATACCTTCATTCTGTCAGTTGGGAATGGCAGACATTAGAGAAGTTAATTATTGCCATTCCACTTTTTCTTTTTTGAAAGGCTAATCTTTGCTATTGTTCTTTTGGGTGTTTTCTGTGATGTTTCATCATTAAACTCTGACATGATGTGTGACCAGGGCTTCTCTAATGAATCATTTCAAAAACAATGAAATCAACAAATATTGATCTAGTGCTTATTAAGGATAAAACTCTGTGCCAGACTATGTGAGGGGTGAAAATTAAAAAAAAAAAAAAAAAAAAAAAAAGACATTTTTAATGTGCCCTCATACAACTTGTGATATAGTTGAGGTATAATGAAAAGTAACTAGTAGAAGCATTAGAGACAATATCCGGAGAGTGACATAATTTTTAGGAATGCAGAAGTAATTCTCCTGTAATAGGAGGATAGGGAAGTGAATTTTGAATTAGATATCCTTGAAAAGGAATATGGGTAGCCTAAATGGTGCTCATTCAAGAAAAAAGAAAAAAGGAGTGAGCCCAAGCATGGTCAAAAAAAGTACATTAGCCTAATGCCACAAATGTGTTTAACAGAATGTTGCTGCCTACTTTTTTTTATATGCATTTTTAACGAATTCTCTTAACATGTCTCTTTAAGCTTTCCCTAAATTGCTGTCGTGGCTAATTCTTCTCACCTGTAGAAGTTAGCTATAGACAGGTTTTTCCTTGCCCTAGATAGTCAATAATTTGATCTTTACTGATGGTGGGCCCATTTATCACAGTAAGTTGTCCTTTCACTATACATATTGACTTTTATTTATCAATACCCAAGTCCATTTGTAGCTCATCACTAAAGTTCTTGGATATTTTCAGTAGGTTTTGAAGATGCATTTTAAAGCTTGGCAGAGAGATACTTTTGACATCAATATAGTGCAAATGATTGTTAGGTTCATCCTTAACTTAAAATCAACTGTTTATTTCCTCTGTAATGGATTCTGATATAGTCCACATTTGGAGGAAGAGGGGCAAAAAAGACAAACTCTTCTTGACAGTTCTACCACTGAAAGATGTAAAGCTCTTCCATTTACTCATCATGTACCTCAAAATATTGACAGCTCAAAGGCCAGTGTTCTTAATATGGTTGTAATGTCTTTGGTAGCAAAATAGAGAAGTCCATGTACTTTGTATGGATGTGTTTGACTATAATGTGTTTAACTATGAATATGATTGTAGATATTAAATAAATGAATAGTTAAATGGTAGAAAAAACCCAGAAGATTGTATGACAAAGACACTATAGAAAGATTTACTGTAAGACAGTGGGTGACAGGGTCATCAGTGGTTATGCTCCTCCATCTCCCTCTATACTCTGTTTTGGTTTCAGTTAACCTCCAAAAATTCCCTCCTTCCTTTTGCCATCATTTGCAGAAAGATGGTATTTGCTCTTGAAGGTGGCTAGGTCTAGGCAGCAAACAATTCCAAGAATCTTTCCCTCCACCCTCAGTAAGACAAGAGAATGACCACTGGAAAAATTTCCATTCACCTCAACAAACAGCAGCTGGTTCTTCCATGCAAGGCCAGTACTGTAGACTAAATATAGCCCTTGTTAACAATCCATGTCATTTACAGTGTGAATAAAATCTGCAGTACAAATAATGTTTTCAATACAATGACTTATGAATGATTTTAAAATAGATCCCATCCATCATATGTATGGACTTTTTGGAATTATTGAGGATATTTATAGAAAACCATTAATAAAAAGATATAATAGTTTGAAATGTTGGTCTGAATAGAATAAATTACTATAGGAGCAGATAAAAGTCTGAAAAAAATCTTATTCACATCTTACTCAAGAGCATAAAAATAGTGTACATGTTGCAGAAGTCAGGAAAGACTAAAAAAACACTCAGATTTGTGGAATGAGCAATGGAGAAGTCAAAGGCCTGAGTTTAGATCTACTAGCTCAATATGGTGGCTAAGAGGTGATCACTTTCTTGGTTGATCATTTAGGTCTCTTGTCAATCTTAAAGCATCACTGTGAATCAATTAAACAAACAAACAACTTTCTACAGACTTAGAAGAAAAACTACATTAAATTCAAGAAGTAAATACTAATGCAACACTCACAGATCACCAAAGACTGCAATATATTTTAAATGAGAGGGAGACATAATCAGTGAAAAGACTTGAAGTGATAACACCAAATTTGTAAACAAAGGAGATGCCATTTGAATAGATCCCAAATTCACTTTACAAAGTGGTTCTCTCAGGACAGATGACTTATCAGGAAAACATATCTAGCTAAAGAATTATGTACTTATTAACCCTACTTTAAGAGTATCTACTGAGATAATCAAGTGATAGGACCTCTTAATTATATTTGCATAGTATTAGCTACATCCTGCACCAGGCTTCAGGCTTATTTTTGTCACTAAGGACTGGAAACTGGGAAAAATATCACATAAAGATGCCCAGAATTAGATAAAATGTCTAAT